AATATAAGGAAGGAGAGACAAGGTCTGCGAAACGCCGGGCAGCTTACCTTGAAATCTCCAAACGATCAACTGTGCAAAGGAATCAACACCCACCATGTCCGGAAACACCTGGATCTGCATACAGAGTGCAGGGTGTAGCGTAAGTAGAACCAACTCAGTAAGAAACAAGACTAAATAAAGGACAGAAAGTAGTGACGAGCTTCACAGATATAGTTCAATTACAGTAATTTAAACATAGGAAGGTAGGCATGCTTTCAAGTTCGACAATTTAGGCCAAAACAGTTAATTCAGGTCAAGTTCAAGTGAAACATAATATATTATCTCTCAGAAATTGCAAGACGGTGATATATGACATCTGAAGTGCAACAGTAATGAAATCAAATGCATCATCTCAGACTAACATTCACTTAGTCCTCCCATTCACTCGTTTCTCACAGTCACTCATTCTCTCAGTCGCTTAGCACTCGACACTTGCACTCAGTAGGTACCTGCGCTCACTGGGGGTATGTACAGACTCCGGAGGGGCTCCTTCAGTCCAAGCACTATAACAAGCCAATCATGGCTTAAATCAGTGAAACGAGATGCGACGTGCAGCCCCATCCTATAAATATCCTCACCATCAGGCCCTCGACCTCACTCAGTAATCAACCTCTCCGGTCTCTCGGGCTCTCAGTAATCATTAAAATCAGCCCAAATAGAAATGATATAATGTATCAACAAAGAACAATAGAGACTGAGATATGATCAAGTAAAACTGTGACTGAGTATGAAACAGTAATTTAGCAGATAATTCAACATGTAACACGACCTCTGAGGGTCACCATAGCACCAACATATGGCCTAAACATGATTTCTAACATGATTTGCAGCTCAATTTCTATATCATATGAAGAATTTACGGATAAGAACATATTATTCATCTATACAGTTCCATGGAATGGGCCAAGTCACAATTCCTATGGTGCACACCCACACGCCCGTCTCCTAGCATGTGCGCCACCTCAACACCAATCACAAGACACGTAGTACGGGGTTTCATACCCTCAGAACCAAATTTAGAACTATTACTTACCTCAAGCCGTGCAAATCTTTACTCTAATACACCCGTGCCTCGCGAAACGGCCTCTGAATGCCTCGAATCTAGTCATAAACAGTTCGATATAATCAACATGGGCTAAAGGAATCAATTCCATAAGAAAATATTAAACTCTTAATCAAAAGTTAAAAAGTCAACTCAAAAGTCGGCCTCCGGGCCCACATCTCGAAATCCGATAAAAGTCACAAATTCGAAAGCCCATTCAGTCACGAGTCCAACCACTACAAATTTACCAAAGTACGACACCAAATTGCCACCCAAATCCCCAAATCAAACTCTCCAAATCCCTAGCCTCAAACCCCCAAATTCCACCTCAAATATACACAAACTAGGTGGGAAAATCAATGGAGAAATACAATTATTGAATAAATTAGACCACAAGTGATTTATCTCAAGAAATCCCTCCAAAACCCTTTCAAGAATCGCCAAATCCCGAGCTTGGAATGCTTAAAATGGTGAAAAATCTCGGAACCCTCATTTATAAACACTGCCTAGGCTTTTTCGCACCTGCGAAACCGCTTTTGCGGTAAAGTCCTCCGCTTCTGCAGAAATCACTTAAATCCCCAAGGCCCGCATCTGCACTCCAGGTTCCGTACCTGCGGAGGCGCTTCTGCGGCCCACAATCCGCTTCTGCGGAAAAAGACCACGCCCTTCAACTCCGCGTCTGCGGAGCCTTGCTCGCACCTGCGGGCTCGCAGATGCGGTTATCCTTTCGCACTTGCGTCCTGCCCCAGCCCAGCTCCGCACCTGTGCAAATCAAGACGCATCTGCGGCATCGCACTTGCGCCAATCCCTCGCAGGTCCGGTCACACCAGAAGAGTCCCAGCTTCAACAATGCACTAGATCCCATTTTCGATCCATTAACCATCCGAAATCAACCTGAGGCCCCCGGGACCTCAACCAAACATACCAACAAGTCATAAAACATCATAAGAACTTAGTCGAGCCGTCAAATCACCCCAAACAACATAAAAAATACAAATCGCACCCCCAATTCAAGCCTACTGAAACTAAGAAATTCCAACTTCTACAAACAACGCCGAAACCTATCAAATCACGTCTGATTGATCCTAAATTTTGCACACAAGTCACAAACGACACCACGAACCTATTCCAACTCCCGGAACTCCAATCTGAGCTCGGTATCCACAAAGTCCACTCTCGATCAAACTTTCAAATTTCCACATCGCCATTTCAAGTCTAATTCCACTACGGACCTCCAAAATCACAATCTGGACACGCTCCTAAGTCCAAAAACACTCAACGGAGCTAACAGAATCATCAAAACTCCATTCCGAAGTTGTTTACACATAAGTCAACATCCGGTAAACTATTTTAACTTAAGTTTTCAACCTTGAGACTAAGTGTCTCTATTCATTCCGAAATCTCTCCGGACCCAAACCAACTAACCCGGAAAGTCACATAACAAATATAAAGCACAAAATGAGCAGTAAATGGGGGAATAAGGCTACAACTCTAAAAATGACCGGCCGGGTCGTTACATAATAATTTTTAAAAATAGGGTACAGGTTAAAAGGTGGCACAAATATAGGGTAACAACAACAACAACAACGACCCATTGTAGTCCCACAAGTGGGATCTAGGGAGGGTAGTGTGTACGCAGACCTTACCTCTACCCAGATGGGGTAGAGAGACTGTTTTCGAAAGACCCTCGGCTCAAGAAGACGAAAAGACAAAAAGAAACAATATATCAGTACCATCATGGAAATAATAACAACAACACAAGAACCAGCTAATAGATGAAAGGGAGAAATAATGACCAGTAAATAAGGCCCGGCACTATGAAAATGGAAGAGTAGTGTAAACACAGCATTGACCACTAGCAGTCGAAGACTAAATCCTATCAGCCTAGCCTCACACTGGTAGACTAAATATGCTCAACTACCTCCTAACCCACAATCTTAATTCTCGACCTCCACAGCTTCCTATCGAGTGCCATGTCCTCGGAGATCTGAAGTCTCGCCATATCCCGCCTGATCACCTCTCCCCAATACTTCTTAGGCCGCCCTCTACCTCTCCTCGTACCCACCGACGCCAACTGCTCGCACCTCCTTACCGGGGCATCCAAGCTCCTCCTCTGAACGTGCCCGAACCATTTGAGTCTCGCTTCCCACATCTTTTCATCAATAGGAGCCACGCCCACCTTCTCCCGAATATCTTCATTCATAATCTTATCCATCCTAGTGTGCCCGCACATCCACCTCAACATCCTCATTTCTACTACTTTCATCTTCTGGGTATGTGAATTCTTAACTGGCCAACACTCCCCCATATAACATGGCCGGCCTAACCACCACCCTATAAAACATACCTTTGAGTAGCGGAGTCACTTTCTTGTCACACAGGACTCCAGATGCTAACCTCCATTTCATCTACCCCACCCCTATACGGTGTGTGACATCCTCGTCGATCTCCCCATCCCTATGGATAACTGACCCAAGGTACTTGAAACTGCCTCTCTTAGAAATGACCTGCGATCCAAGCCTCACGTCCATGCCCGCTTCCCTCGGCTCGGCACTGAACTTGCACTCAAAATATTCCGTCTTCGTCCTGCTCAACTTGAAACCCTTTGACTCAAGGGCCTACATCCAAACCTCCAGTCTCTCGTTAACGCCACTTCGCGTCTCTTCAATCAGAACAATGTCATCAGCGAATAACATGCACCATGGCACCTCTCCTTGAACATGGTGTGTCAGTGCATCCATCACCAGAGCAAACAAGAATTGGCTAAGCGCAGATCCTTGGTGTAACCCCATAATAACTGGGAAATGCTCGGAGTCGCCTCCCACTGTCCTAACCCGAGCCTTAGCTCCATCATACATGTTCGTAATCGCCCTAATGTATGCAACCGGCACACCTTTAGCCTCTAGACATCTCCAAAGAACCTCTCTAGGAACCTTGTCATACGCTTTCTCCAGATCAATAAACACCATGTGCAGATCTTTCTTCCTATCCTTGTATCGTTCCACCAACCTCCTAATAAGGTGGATAGCTTCCGTAGTGGAACAACCCGACATGAACCCGAACTGGTTGTCTGATACAGAAACCGTCCTCCTTATCCTCGCTTCTACTACCCTTTCCCACAGTTTCATGGTATGACTCAATAGTTTGATACCCCTATAGTTGTTGCAACTCTGGATGTCATCTTTGTTTTGTACAACGGAACTACCGTACTCCACCTCCACTCGTCCGGCATGTTCTTCGTCTTGAAAATAACATTAAATAACCCTATGAGCCACTCCAAACCTGCTCTACCCACACACCTCCAAAATTCT